ATCGTATATTGGCCTATTGGATTTAACACTATTTGTTATGGCACCCATTAGCCTTATTATTTTCCAATTGATCTATGATGTGATGTGATATAATACATTTTTTTGTTGTTTGTTTATTGCTGACTGATGATTTTTTTTCGAGACCTATTCGATTTTGGTTTGATCGAATTATTAACGCGTATAATTTAAAATCATGTATAGTCATTAAATTGGAATAGTCAAGCTCAATTGTCATGCCTTTAGTTCTAGCAAATACATTTGAGCGTCGTGCAGTTACCGTATGTTCTAAGTTGCGTGAAATTCCAAGAAATTCTGTGATCGAGGGCGCTAACTGTGCTAAAATGTATTTAATATTATGGCGGTTAAACGATTTGTTTTTAAGTCGTCGAATGAATGCGATGAATACAATGACATCATATATATATATAAAATTACATATAAAATATATATACTATTTATAGTGATTCGTATTTTAATGTTATAAAAACGGAGTAAAGATAAATCCCTAATAATACATAATATTCAAAAATTAGATACAATGTATATTATATAAAGACAAGTCAAAGAAACTTTTGTGTTTTTTTAAAAAAGTTTAACTTTTTGCGATCGATGACGAATACCAATGTGTGAACTGTCAAGTACTACAGTAAGCAACACGCGACACTTCGGAAAACATTATTGGTTCGTAACCTTTTAATTACGAGCGTCGTTTTTTTAATTAACCAAACTATAACTGCGAAATATAGTGTTGCGTGTTAATGTGTTACGATCGAATAAGTATCAATAGGTGTAAATATTATTATATTTTGATTGTGTATAATATAATGTCGTTGAATTAAAAAGGCAAAAATAAATAAACATGTAAATTAATCGTTAATTGGTTTAACGCCATTAAACGAAAGTGTTGAAATGAATTATGAAACTCGTTTGTCCGATAACGTATGCACTGAGCAATATACTTTTATCCGTAATAGATGCCCACTCATGATATTATTATTAAATAGATTTTGACTAGAGAAAATAAAAACGTAGATTTCTTAAATATCAAATTAATAGTTTGATTATGTTGAGAAATTGCGTATCCTATGCCTATGACCTAATTCAGTAAAACGTACAATGACGCCTTGAATTGATATATTATAATTTATAAGTAATAGGTATACAATTAGATTTTAAATACATTTTGCATCTACATGTACTATGCAGTTAAAAATTCTAATGGTAGTTTAGTTCGATTCAATGTTGTATTGTATTTAGTAATGATGATTAGATACCTACTATATTATGTACACGCATTTACAAAAGTTTTTAATTGATTTTTTTATTATTATACCAAATATTTTACAACTCTTTAGAGTTACCTATTTGATGTTTGAAACATTACTAAACATTATTAATTATGAACCTCAACTAAATAGAACAACTTCACACACATACTCACATAATACATTTGTGCATTTATGTTATTATAAAGTAGCGAAACCTATACATATTTTTCGAATTAGATTATCACTATAAATGCGCACAAAATATGAACCGAAAAAAATATAGTAATTACATATACGTATAATTATAAAAATTAAAGTAAACAATAGGAGATGTATAGGTTTTAATTTTACACTAATGCAATATTATTACAGTGGAAATTCATCAAGCGTAATATACTTAAAGAAACGTAGTTATTTTTTTGTATAGAACACTCATTGATAGTTTTTAATATCACTCACGCTTGTATATATATAGTAGTAATATACTTTTATAAAAGACCCTTTGTATTTTGTTCTGTTAGACTACTTATATAAAACGTATATATATGTTAATGGATTTTCATTAAGTAATAGGTTATATATATATATATTTGTGTGTATATAAATATAAGTCAAATGGGGTCACCATAGCTATAACTACAAGGGAAGCCTCACTGAAAAATAATAACAAAAATGATGTCATAACGAAACAAACAAAAAAAGGGCAGTACTCACGCGTGAGTGTATTTACACCTGGCGTACGCACATATACACACCCACACGCAACTGTTGACTTATTGCTTGTACACGAAACGCTCACAAGCACCTGGCAATATCATCAGCGAGTCAGCAACGTAATATGTTTACGATGCCGTTGATGTTCGAAACGTTTGACGGATAAAAAACGAAAATAGTCAATATTCAATATACGTGTATAATGTATAAATAAATACCTACAACGAGTACTGCAGCAGATAATATAGTATAATATAATTGAGAACGAATCTATATAAGTGCAAACTCGCGGTTCCTATCCACATGATATATGTACTAATAATAAGTCACTGCACTAATCCGATGGACAAGTTGAAATGCGCATTGACAATAAATTACCTATGTCTTCTCACTGCGAGAATCGATACTGCAGACGCACACAAGGTGACCACCACAATAATCAATCGAAAGTCACGATTTAACAGACAAGTTACTATGTATAAAAACAGATAATAATTGTTACCTATTGTTTACAAATGTATTTCTTATTGTGTAATAATATTTAATGACACTATAACTACTAAAAAATAACAGTGATGCCTCAGAAAACGATATAGGTAATAGGTAGCAGTAGCAACCATCCATTAAAAAAATATCCACAAATTAACATTTAATGTATTATTCGTAAATAAATTCGTAGTTACTGGATAAATAATTTTGAAAAGTATTCTTAATCATATTCTAAAAATAAAGTATACAAATATTACCCGAGTATTTAGTATGGTAGTAGTACTATTTTAAATAGGAAATAATATTATAAATATATGAAGCTAATTTGCAGTTTCCTAGATACGATACTCGTGGACACCGGAGTTTTTCATACATAGGATAATATATTATTATAATGTATAATGATGTATTTTTGTGTAAAAATGTCTGAAGTTATATTTTCAACATAAGTTTGAAAACAATGAACGTAGTAATTTTACTCTTTGCGAGGTTCAAATAATAAAAACTAGTCGGTACTCGAAAACTTCAGTGTTCTGTGTCTTTTTTCAACAGGTTCGTAAAATAATAGAATATAGAGCACTCGCGTTGTTGTTCGACAGAAGAAAAGAATTGATTGTAATATATTAATTTTTATGAAAGGTGAACAACAATAATTAGCCGACAGAGTTCTAAAATTCACACGTGTGTAATATGATATATTAATAATATAATCGTTAGTCGTAACATTCCGTTCACTATGATTATGGTCCACCGGCGGTGTGATCCGCATACAAGAAACGAATGCGTAGGTCGTAAACGTCTACTTAGTTTGAAAAAAAGAATAAACAAGATTGAAAATCCACGGTTTACGCGGGTTTTTACGATATTAGTGGTAGGTATATGTGTAAGTTGTATTTTACCCGTTATAATAATGTCAATTTCCCAACATGAAATCGATTTAATTCTTAAATAGCGTCCTGTATAGAAGTATATACATTTGCTGGTTACAATTTAATTTAAAACGCACAGACAGAAGTAGGTGGATATATTTTCAAACGAAAAAAAAATGAATATATATTTCTAATAATTTCCATATTTCCGTAGTAATAGTAATGATGTGTAGATATAACAAGTAAACATCTGGCTTATGTCACTCAAAAATGTACGCCCAATCCCAGATTATCCCTCCAGGCCGGACGATAATACGGTTAGGTTAGGTTTTACCATACCAGAAACTCACATACAGAGTAAATACAAATTCAGTAGGTATTTAGAATTTGTTTGGGGGGAAGAAAAACCGACGAGAATAAATGCGTAAGGAGGGAGAGTTGAGACAATGGTTTGTCACGTCATAAGTCACACGTCTGAAAATGCATTGAAAAATTATTGTATCATCGAAATAGGTAATCGAAAAAGATATTTTATGTTTGACGTTCACCACAATGTAACCACCCAATCCACCACTCTACAGCAAAATTATAGACACTTTTCACTCAGTTGACTTGTATTTTATAAAACATACTTAATAGATACTTACCTAATTTATTTTTTAATTTTAAAATATACGCGTTATATCAATCAATACAAATATGCTGGTTACTTATTAATTAAAATAATACTTGAAAAGTTGAAGTCAAACATAACTACAGCATTATATTTAAATAAATAGTTCATAGTTGTACTAATTTTATGGTAAACTATATGCATGGTGTATAAATTATAATTGTTGATGTTATTTTTCCTATGTAATATTAGTCGTGGCTCGTATTATCTTTGACATTTAAGGGCCAATGATAGTATTACCATTTACCACGGAAAAAAGCAATGGCATCGTGAATACCTATTACGTTTATTTTTCATACAATTTACTACACAGCAGCGTACCCTTTGCACACGCCCCGGTTGCTGTTGTCGTTATTTCATTGTGGTTAAACGCGAACGCTCTAAGACTGAGAAGACGTGCATACACATTCCATCTGCAGCTCTAGTACCGTAATTGATCGCCGCTTCAAGAACCCCGAGCTCAGTCCATAATGTACCTACCTATATCTATTTTTTCTTCTCATAATGTATATTTATCTTCTACCGGTAGTGCAACAGACTATTACCATGTTTCGGTCAAACGACGGCGAGGAGGTCACGTACGCACGTCTTGAAGTGTGCAGATGTGCTCTCTAAACTGTGACGAAACGAGTTGTGAGTTCTTCGGTCGCAACATCAAATTAACGCAGTATAGTATTGTAACCACCGATACATGCTACTGTCCACGCGAATCGAAAACGCTAATTCTCACGACGATTGAACGAATTCCAACCCAATATACATAGGCATAAATAGGCTTGGCGCCACATTTTAGGGGCCTAACAAAGTCCCAACAAAAAATAATGAGAGTTATGTGGTAAGGAACTGCATAATAGTACAATGTTTACTATGTGTTCAAACTGTAAGATATTTGAGGACGAAGGTAAATAATGCCAAGGCCAACAGGTCGGAACAATTAGCATTTAAACGCTGCAGCTATAGTATATAATATAGTTATGACTGACTTACCGATCGGCGGCGATTGGAAATTGTAGTTAGCCGTTGACGACGATGACGGGGATGGAGACGTCGACGCAGATTGCTGTTGTCCTGGATGCTGTGCAATTCTCCTGCGATTATATTCCCTGCGTGGCGGTGAAGCCACATTCTTGTATCCTGGTGGCCTGTACCTGGCCGACTTTACGTTGAATTGGTGTACGCTGTGCGCCTTGTATATACCAGTCAACGGACTCGGGGACTGTGCGGGTGCGGCAGTTGTGGTTGTAGGCAGCCGGGGTAGAGAGTTTGTATTCGATGATGATGCGATGGCCTGCTGTTGCAGACTCCTGGGCAACGTGGTTGACTTGGAACCAGTAGCCGTCACACCGTCGTCGCTGTCACCACCTGAATCACCACTATCGGGTACGCTGCCCCGTCTTCTTCCGTTCCTCCAGATTCGGTCCTCAACGCTGCCACCGATGCTGCCGCACGATCTCACACGGTCCAACTGTTCCCGGCTACTGTTAGCACTCTTTATCAACAGGTCACCAGCAGACCGTCTTTTGGCCGCGAGCGTCACGCAACTCTCGCCGCTTGACGTTAAACGTGTTCGAGAGTCAGACATCATAAGCGTTGACTCAAAACTGCCTCGCCAGCTGAACCTTTCGTTGTCGCTGGCCTCTTGCCGGGCCTCTTCCAACAACGGGTCGTGTGACTTGGACCTGGGCAGTGGACTATCAAATTGTTCGTCATCGCCCTCATCCTCTTCCTCTGTGGTAGTAGAAATGATCGACGTTTTATGGTGGTGATGAGATCGTCTGTGATACCTAGACGCCCGCGGGGTACCGGGATTTTCGGAAACCGCGTGCATCAGCGCAACGAGGCGGCTTCCGATGTGTTGCATGACTTTGGTGACTAGTGGCGGTGAGTTCCTGGACGTCGATGAATCGGAACTGGGAACTTCGATCTTCCGCAGCGAAGCCATGAGTTTTTGGTAGACGAACGCAGTGTCCCGGTTTTCGTCTTGTAGCCTGGACCCCGTCTCCAAATCAGAACTTGTGTAGTCCGACGAATCGTAAGAATCGCTCCACGTGTCCTCGCTACTTAAATATTCGACGATTTCTTTCACCTGTTCGTCCCTTATTCCCGGCACGGTTTTCATTAATCTGGTTAATTCGGACTCAAATTTCACCAATTGGGGAGGTTTGCTCTTTTCTCCAGGCACTTCAGGTTTAGGTTGGTTTGCCAACATGGTCTTGAAAAACGCTCTCATTTTAGACATCATTAGATTTGTTTCTTCGTCCGAACTCCAATTATTAAAGCTGTCGGTTCTGGTCAGGCCCTCTGTGCCATTTGGTTTTTGATCACTTTCCGCCAGCGGAATTGTGACTTTTTCTTCTGGCATTTCAGCACTCTCCGAGTTTTTATCTAACAAGTCGTCTCCAGTATTGATATTTTCTACGCTTTCTTCGATTTCCAATGCCTCCAAAGGAGGAGCGGTTACAACTGATCTCTTTTTCTTCTTGCCTCGTTTAACAGTATCAAATTGACCGTCACTTTTTTCAAATGATATAGACTCGTCGTTCGAATCCGAGCTTGTAGACGAGTCTTCGTAATCCAATTGTATCTCCACCTGTTGTTCAGATTCTGTAAGATTATCTAGTGACGAATGTTGACGTCCAGTTCCTCTAGCTCTGACCAATCTCTTTCTCCGTTGTTCGGGGCTGTGTTCTGGACTGTCACTACCAACACTACCGTCCGAGTCTGGTCGATCGAAGCCCATAAACTCGCTTAAGAAATATCGTTCCAGTCTAGATCCAGCCATTTCCGATACTGCTGGCTGTGGTTCGATGCTGTCCAAAGACTCGAGACCTTCGCTTATGATAGAACTTGTTTCAGAAAACGCATCCGTATTTCTACCAGCGTCTTGATCTTTATCGCAAAGACCGAAGAAAAAATATTTTTCCAGTTCCGTTTGGTTGTTCCGGTCTGACTCTACCTCACTTTCTTCGCAGCTTTCTTCGACGATGGTGTGTAACGTAAAGTCCAATGCCGATCTCCTGAACTCAGGTTCTTCCTCAAACGACATTTCTTCACCTTCAGAAGATTCAATTTTGAAATCGTCCCTATCCAGATCTTCCACCCAAGAATCATCGTCAGCCAAACCTTCTTCTAACGCAATGACAGCTGACAACGTGTCACCGCCTGTCACGACCTTTACTTCACTGTCGTCAGCCGGTTCGGATGTGTCCAGTGTGAGTTTGAACCCTTCGTCTTGGACGATTGTGGGCATTATTTTTGTGGTATCACTGGCTACCACGTTCACGGTTGGTTTGTCGTCCCGTGTTATCATTATTAGGCTGGTAAACTTGCCGCTTAGGCCGGCGGCGGCGGAAGATTCGTCGACGGATATCTGCTCCATGGACTCGGTGCCGGAAAACTCGTCTGAGGCGCTGCTGTTTCCAGCGGCACACTTAACAGCCGCGGCGGCCGCCGAATCTAAAATGCTGGACAGCTTCACGTTACATCCGTCGTCTTCGTCTTCATCGTCATCATCGTCTGGGCTGTCATTGACGTCGTACGACATGGCGACATTCTGCGCGTCCGAATCGTCCGAGTCGTCGGACGGCGACGGGGATGGCGACGAAGACGACGAATAATATCCAACCTCACCATCGCGGTCGTCATCTCCGCACGATGCGACCGGTGACGATGACGATTTTGCGTCGAGGGCCGACGCACGGGCAGCGTACATGGTGAGCACGGCACCACCGCCTTCGTCGACGGCGGCCGCGGGGGGTTCCGGCATTTCCTCGACGACACCACCGGTGCCCCTTTTTTCCTTCACATTTTTCACCTCTGCACTATTGACGGCATCCCGTTCGCGGAAATATTCAGTTAAAACGTTAGCAAACGCGGTGGTTAGCGTGTATTGCGCGCGCTCCGGCGGTATTACGATCGGCACTGGCACGAACACGGGGAACGGCAACACGACCGGAACGAACGTCGTCGTCGTTGTTGCGCGCGCGTCGGTCTCGCTAGGTTTACTGCCACCACCGCTGCCACCACTACAGCTGGTTAACTGGTCGCAGTTACCGGTACCTGCGCCACCTGCCGACTGTCGTTGGTCTTGCTCTTGCTGTTGTTCCCGCGTTTGTTCTAGCGGTCGCGTCTGGTCGTTGTCGTCATCCAGACCGGCCATGAAATAGTCCCAGTCACAATCGTCATCGGCCGACAGGCTGGACGACGTTTGTCGGCCGCAGCCACCGTCATCCGATGACCAGTCGGCCCCGTTTAAGAAGACAAGCCGATAGTCCTCTTTGGTCCGACTACCACCGAGAATTTCTTCATGTAGGAAAGGGTCCCGGCGAAGAAAACGCCGACTTCGTGGTGGCGTCACTCCTGAAAATAAAAAACCACATTTCATTATTCATCGATTGCTTCAATCGAAAATCTTATAGAACAGCGGTTCCAAACAATATAAGAATTAATAATTTTTTTTATTTTGTCATTTCCATTATTTTTTACATTATATTTGTGTCACACATACGTGCCCAAATAATAATAATATAAATTCAAAACCACTCGGAGATACAAAAGAGTAATCACACGATTGTACATACATTTATTTTAATTTAAAATCAATAATGAATAAAGATCGAAAAAGAAAATCATGACATAAATAACTAAAAGTTAATTAATTTGTCTATGATAAAATCTAATTAATATTTTTCTTTTTACCTAATTATAGATAAATAAATTCAATTACTCTACAAAAATCAAAATGTAGTATAACATAATATTTTAAATTAACCTACAAACAAATATAGCATAAGCTAATTATTGAAGCGTAATTTTATGATAAATAACATGTTATTATTATTGGGTAGTTGGTTGTTACATTGTTTAACTAATTACATCATCATTATTCATATAACCATAATTCGTATTATAAAAAATATAATTTTGCTTTAAAAACAAAATGTTTGTAATTAATTTAATTTGTCAGAATATCATATTTGTTTTATAATTCTTTCAAAAAGGATAACTGCTTTTTAAAAATGATCGATGAGTTTATGAGAAAGATTATATTTACATTTTAATTATATTTAAGATGATTCTGTAAAAACAAACGTGATCTAACGACTTTCGGTTTTTAAATGTAAAAACTCGTATAACGTGAAATGGTGAAAGAATTTTGCTTCTGGGTGAAATTGTTACGTTTTAAATGCCTCCCAGCTGATGTTCAGCCAAAAAAGTTACTTAAAATAGCTAACCGTTGAGAAATTTGAAATGCGCATGTTGGCCTTTATCAACTACACGAAACAATTCCGATCAACATTTAGATTCACCAAGAAAAACTATTCTATATACAAAATAATGAAACTCAAAACAAACTGTAGTCTCATAATATGTGACTAATATTGCTAAAGAAAGTTTGCTACAAATCTACAATATAGGCATATTTCTGTTAAATAGTGGAAATGAAATTACATGAATTATTTTTTTTCAAATAAATAAAATACCACTTTAAGATGAATAATTATAGATGTAGTTATATTACCTAAATATTAAAGAGGTTACTAAAAATGATAAAATTTCATGTGATATGTGTATATGAGTTCTAATATAATTAAGAAACTATACATAATAATTAATAAGGTTTTAAAATCACTTGAATCAACGCATAATATATTAATAATCTAGAAGTGGAACATTGCTAAGAAATATACTTAAGGACCTATCATGAATCTATGCTAGTAACAAGAATAATGAATAATTTTTTTTTATAGAGCTTTTAGTAGGTAGGTAATGAGAAATATTACAATTATTTGTAAATAAATTAGTAATATTCATGATAAAATATATGTCATAAAGTAAAGATAAATCTTAATGTATACATTTTTTTTTTTATAATACCTACAGACAATATATTATAAACAACGCGCGCAACTAATTAAAGACATATAAATTCGAATTACTAGTTTTAGCTGTTTGCATTCAACGGGTTAATAATAATTAATTTTTTGATGACGTTTATATTGTGTATACGGTTTAATTAATCCATTTCGTCCAATCATACTTTTTGATTAAGTTTAAAAATTATAAAACGTTGAAAAAATATATAAATTTGCATTCTTCTCAATCTATAGTCAAGTGTTTGTGTATAATATTATACAAAAGTAACCATTTGGTGAGCATACGATATATTATGTCGTCAAGACCCAGATTATAATTACGTGCATATCCTAGAACAGTTAGAACTCTCATAGCACACTATACTATGCATATTATACTGCATCAAAGGCCACCCACACATACGTACTTTTCAGTTGTGGTGTGCAGAAGAGTTACGAAATCCGATGACACCGATTACCGACAGGAAATCCGAGAACAATAGACACCCTTCGGCACCATATTGCATTCCTAATAAGGGGTAGGAACCAATAATGTACATCCATTTTGAAGAACAGATGTTAATAAACTAATAAAAAGTTTTGGAAACAATATTTTTTTACTTATTTAAATAATATTTGTTTTTAACAGCATCTGCAGTGTTCACGAGAACGCCGTGTTTTAGTTAAACAGATTTCAGATATCGAATTTCAAGTAAGTCTTTAAATATTATATACCTATACAGTTATAAGAGGCTTAAATTTATATAAATGCATAATATATTAATAATATGCTATTATGATTAATAAAATACAACTAACGATGGTCGGAGCGCTAGAAAACTATACATATTTTATTTGTACATTACAGTCCATATGGTTTGTATACTTAAGCTAGCTTTAGTTGCATTTATGTATTTGTTGTAAATTGCCTTTGTAGAACCTGCACTTTAAATAAAAAGTCAAAATTTAATGATTAGTGGGAACAACTAACAAATTGATCGTGTTTTTGTGTGATGAAACAAAGAAACGCACAAGAATCAAAATACTATGGAAATTATGGGAATATCCACTGTTTTATTTTCGATTGATAACGAAATAAATTATTTTATACATTAATTTCTCTTTTTTATTTTATTTTAATAAAATATGAGAAATTCGTGTTCAAGCGATCCTAAATTGTATTGGACACGATTACTGACAGCGTCGTGGCATGATATTAAAATAATAAATCGTTTTAAAACGGTTTACGAGCCTCGGAGATGTGATAGATATTATCCTAATATTATCTGTATAAAATGGGTTTGAAATAAAACATAAGCCAAGCAGAACAATGTGTATGAATAGACCAGACCAATAGAAATATATTGTCGATTGCACGCATGCAAATAAATAATAAATTGTATTTGTCTGAACAATAGGTACCTAGGAATAAAAAAATAGAATACAAATGTGTACACAAATAATAAACATGTGTAAAAAAATAGTACATTTTAAGCATATCAACAGAAAAATATAGATGACCACAAATTCACAGGAGACTATTGTTGGTTATTACTTATTATTAATCAAGCCGATTGATATTTTTTCGGTTAGATTACCTAATTACATTCAAGTATAAATATAGGTTAATATACAAAACTTATAGCTATTTATTTTTATGTTTATGCCTTTCATAAAGATTGTATTGTTAAACTTGAAATGAAAGTACCGAGTTTTTTGAAATTAACAGCGAAATAAAACGCTCATCATCTATCGAACATTGTAATGTTTCCACGACTTGTGTAAATACAATTTGGAAATTAGTATACTTCAAGAAAATTAATTCTGAATATGCCCGAATCGTAATTCATTATTACTTAATGTTTATAATAATACTCATTTTAAAAGAAAGTTTTTGTAAAAATATAATTAAATATGTACCAAAGTAATTATATTTAATTTACATCATTTTGGGTTCACATATCACATATATTATAAACTATAATACATATATATATATTAAACAGAAAAATATATTATTTATGTGATTTCATAAATATACACATATAGGTACACTGTACAGGGGAATTCGGTGATTATAGAACCTTGTTTAGTCGGTGAGCGAATTGTAAGTTATTTATTTATCATATCCACAAAGATCAAGTAGTCATTGAAGTTTGATATGAAGTGTCAATGATGATTTAATTTGTAAATTCACGTATGTTCTGTTATTTAAATCCCAGCTGGTGAAATCTTTCTATACCTAATTACTCTTGTATACTAACTTTCTGATTTGAATTTTAGAATAGTAATGATGAAGTTGTCGGAGAATGTTAATTTAGTTATTAATCACACGCGTTAAATATAAATGAGAATCATTTTAAAATACAAATTATATACTTAATAAGTTACAAAATTAAAAAGTAAAACCGGCAGAAAGAATTTTATTTTGAAAAGTAAAACATTAAATATTCCTATACATCTCCATGAGAACATTCTAATGATTCTAATAAAACATTCTATACAACTCAATACACGACGACTGACTGAAGAATATGGATCAATACGTTTTATATATTATTATAATATATTACAAGAATTTATAGGGTCAAGAGGAAAAAAGGTACTAAATATAATATTATAAGGAATACACTATACGTTATACACTCCTCTCGTTGTAATAAAATATAAATATAACACAATACAACATTATATATTATTTTCTTGTGACATCACTGTCCACCGCTGACGTTAGATAACAATAAATGTTTTGGTTAACAATAAGGAGTCCGCGTACTTACACATAGGTACAACACACAACGGACACAAAACACATTGCACGGAAGACTTGGCAACCCTGGGTGTGACAAATGAATGCATAACAATGGCAATAGGCCGGTAAGCACAATAGACGGATTGCCGAAAGAAGTGGCTGCAAGGTTAACCACCTCACATCACCGATGGTCGAGAGCATCGTGTGGGAGAGGAATAGAAAACCTATACCGAACAGAAACGTAATCGGTTTTTGTCTAAGTACGTAATTATGCCACCTCACGGACACCCGTGTGCGTTTGAATACGTATCGGATACACTTCAGGCGTACTGCTCCTCAAAGAACATAGTACTTTACAAGCTGGAGTTAAGATATTAGAAGTAAACTATGTCTTCTTGATATATTATCCTATATATATTTTGTATTCACTACAAATATATTAAATACAGTGAACAACTGTTATACAATATTTATTAATATAAAACGCATATCCATTATTATCATTAAGCCAAAAAAAGCGAGTAAGTGAGTGGGCAATGCTTCTGCAGTACATGAGGTATCTATAGAGTCACTGTAATGGATGTGTTCAGTTTGAATTCTATGATACATAAACATTTTGGACTAACCAACGAAAAACGATTCTGCAGAGCGCCGACAGTTTGTCCGCTTATAATATTACTAAGTATACTTATTTGATGATATTATTGTGATTAAAGTTATTTATTTCACTATTAGGTATTAGTACTATACAGTGGGTAAAATCCATTTTCGCCGAAAAATGTAATTATAAAATGTCATTGTGTGTATAAAATATGATAATGTACTTTAAAAATTGAATAAACACACACATAATATTTTTAAGTTACAATAAAATAATTAAAACCATTATTCATGGTTTTAAAAAAAAAGTTTTAATATATTGTAAAATGTTCCTAATAAATTATTAATTTGAAAAGTTTAGAATATTGCCTATAATAAACCCCTGAAAAACTGTCATCAGTAATATGCAGATACTATGTAAACGCTATCTAACGGTTAAATCAACACATATCCATGAAATTTAACCTAACGATTTTTATCAGGGTGGTCATTTTTTTCCAATCATTTGATTTTAAAATTTTTATGAAGGTATCATCAATATTAAGTGTTCGTTAGAAAGGAGTTTGGGTGAAAAGCCTTTAGTTGTTTTTTATTACTTCCTAGAAGGAATTGAGTTCGGTTAAAATTAGGTTTTATTTTGCTTATTAATTTTAAGTTATTTTAATAATTTATTGTTTTACTATGGTGAAGTGGTGAACGTTGATTCCGGTAGTTTGCTTTTATTTACGAAGATAAGTTGTTTTTAATTATTTTGTCAAAAGATCTACATAGCACTTGGCAAATAATTGATGAAAATATTATTTAATAATATTCGTTCTGCTTTTGATTGTTATTACTTAATACAGTTTATACCAAACAACACTGTAAAATATAACTAAATTATACTCGCAATAATAAAGTAGTGAGATATTTAAAATTGTTAATGTTTTACTTTTATTTTTTTTGCATATTTTGATGTTTTATTAGAAACATTTTCAAATTGTTAATCGTGTGCCTCAATGCATTCATTTCTCTGAATGTAATATTATAATTGAAACAAAATAAAAGAGACCAGAAATTTTTAGATGTTTCAAATTAAAAATTATATTAAGTTGCCTATTACTAACGCCTTACTAGAGTCCCTATTTTTTGTATTGAAAAATATTTATGAAGAACGTTTTTCAAATAAGAACAATACGTAAAGATTTAACGTCTTAAGTCTTTTTTTCACAAATATATTTTTTGTATAATACCGTTGATCGTGAAAAAAGTCTGGTATTTTTATTTTTTATTGAGTTAAGGCTTCAACATCTGAGGTCATCAGTAGGTTTTTACTGCAGGGTATTGGTTTGGAATACGTGTACATAAGGCGTAGATTCATCACTAAAAGCTGGCTGGCCACGCTGGCCGTTGTTGGACATCAAAACACTTTAGTAACTGCGGCCAACCACGCCCCAGTGTCTATAGTATTTTTATTATGCATTTTGTATCGAATGGGTAAGGAACAATTATGCTTTTAAGGGGCTCTATGTAGGCAAACATGGTAAAAAAATAATAAAATAAAAAATTGAAGGTTAGGAATTATACTGGTAAAAATAAAATCTCGGGTCCTTTCTTATTTCGAGTACTTAAGTTCTCAATTTTATATCAAAAAAAATTACTAATTTCACAGTTTGATTTGCGTTGCTATCAAACATTTTAGCAACTATAGCAAATAGAATGGATCCCAGCAAAACGTAAACACCGGAAAATAAATGAAGGGTAAGAGCAGCTTACCGGGTGGAATATGTTTGAGATCTTCTTGTACTCTGGACAGACATCCGGTCAGAGCGGTAGCCACTTGCTTCCGGCGATCGTCCTCGGATTCGTTACCGGGATGGTTGACGTCGCCCGACGTCTGCAGCGATGAGACATCGGCGATGGCCGTCACCGTCGTCGTTTGGGGCACCGTCTGCATGTCGATGACGTGGCCACAAGTGTCCACCAGGTGGACGGTGTTGACATCCACGGTCGGCTGTCGCTGCGCCGGACGGTCGTCGGGCTTCATCGGGCCGACGACGGCTGGTGCGGGTGGTCCGACGCGTGAGGCCACTCCGACCCCACCGCCGCTACCACCGTTCCGCCGCGGCCACGGTACGCTACCCCGCGGCATGCTGCTGTATGCTCGCAGTTCGGGCGACCCTCTGACGGCCGACCACGGAGACGAGTCTGTCGGCAGAAACAAACATAACGCGTTACGCACACGAGGAGAGAACGAGGAGACTAAACGAACAAAATAAAAAACGTAACGAAAAAGTATGACAACACGCACGTAGGCACGCGCGCTGGCGGGACGGTTGCCTGTAGGAGGAGGAGACGGCGTCGATCCATTAGGATCAACGGACTTTGGTGGGCAGACTCGTTCACTGGTGTGCGAGTATATATATATATATATATATAATATTATGTATAAACCATGTAATATTATAATATATAATATACTATATATTTATGAGATAGACGCGAAAAGAGTTTAGAAAAAGAACACGATGACGAGGACGTTGGAGGAGGAGGACGAGGGCGGCGACGAATTCATACAATTGTTTCCAAGTTGTATATATTATGCGCTCGAGTTTCGTAACGAATGAAATATTAATACATATCGCCGTACGACAAAATATACACGCCATCGTACGTTGGGAACAATAATGAAGCTGATATTACGGTTTATCGTCGTTGTCAACGTACCTTTGAACGTCAGGGACCTGCCCAGTTTAGTTTCGTTTTTTGGAAATTTCATGGTTTCTGGTGATAAAAAATCGACGATCCATTCTTTTGCCGGCTCCAATGATCTGAAAAAACGTTATATATTTTTATCATACATCGATCTATACTTCTTATGAGTTATAGTACACATAACATCATGACTTATATTATGGAAAAAAAAACTAAGATATAATATTATCAATTCAAGATATTAAACGTTAAAAGCTTAGGTTCTCAATGTCATTTCATCGAGCATACGATTTTGTTCCTTGAGCTTAAAAGACATTTAGGATAATCTTCGGTAAGCGAAAGAAAACAATTTGTTTGATTTTCGATGTCTATTGACACGTATGAAAATACCTCTATTCGTTCAGAGAACTTGTTTTTGCCAGGTATGAGGAAAAGTTATTGTCCAAATTGTTCACTACGTGAACGCATAGATAAATTTTCCCAGCAGCGTCTATCTACCGGTCCGGGTATAGGCAACGTCAAGACTTGATGCTGTTCCATTGTTGAACCCAAGTTTGTTATAAAGACGGACGTCGTACCCGCATGTGTCGTCACCGTCTTACACGGGTACAGTAGGTATAGCAAATTTTAGTTCACCAGATTCAAAAGTGCAGTGAGTTTTGATATTAGAGTGAATTGACCTAATATAAAATTTAAAGGTTAGGTTATTATCTAGGGCCCCAAGTTGCCTTTTATTAATATTAATATTTTTAAGTTAGTTATGATAATTTTAAAATATACAGTTTCTAAAAGGTTAGGAAGGTTGCTTAAAAATAATAATATCAATAAAAACCTACGTGGGGTCTTTGATAATAATCTTTCTTTTATATTTTATAACTAGTCAATTAACTCTAATATGAAAACTAACAGCACATTAATGAATCTGGTGAAATAAAATGTGCAATCTTGTACGTGTGTAAGACAGAGACAACACATGAGGGTACGACGTCCGTCTTTATAACACACGGGAAAACATACTGTACATCAATATACATTTTGTCTAATATATCAAAACATACTAGCTAGTAAATGGGTAAGTACTGTTCTATGAAAACGTTTGGCAAAGCACTCAGACACCTAGCACAGCAAGAACTGTGTTCATTAAAATGTTTGGATTACCAAAATATCTAGAGAGCAAGAGGCGGTAGCGGAGAAAGTAAAAAGTCTGATATTTATATGAATTTATATACAGTATTCAATGTACTAACATAACTTCTTAATTTTTTCGACGTGAAAGAAAATAATGTATGTAATTTACTAATTTTTAACGTGCCAGACTAGTGCTGTAGGAACCTCACAATTTCCTAATTTACCACCATTTTTTTGAAATTCATAGCTTAGTGTATTTTTGGGTGGAACGAGTGCTTCAGCAGGCTTATATTAGTAAAGGTTTCAATACATCGGAAGTTAGACACATAATATATGGCTGGTAGAAACTTTCAAAAAGAGACATTTATTGTTGTCAGGATAATAATCAAATAACTTATAAATATTGTATTTTATTTTTATCATTTTTTCGATGCTATTAGTCATTCCGAGTTGATAATTTAATATTGTGTACAAGCTACAAGGTTCCTCATATAAAATTCATACACTTTAAAAATCATATTGTAAATCTAGCCATGTTCAGGACTGAATGAAATGATTTATCAATGCTTTCAGATTTATAATAATAGGTATACAATAAACTGGCAAATGCCAAGGTGAACGAAAGAAAATGCGTTTACAACACCCAGTTAAAGATACTTTAAGTGTGTAGTCTGTTTCAACAACCAATTTTTAACAAAAATTAACACAAACAGTATGAAGAAGTTAATATTTAAACATTAATTAGGGATTCAATTTCAAATCAAAATTTTAAAAACTTTTTGTCACGCCAGCACAGAAAATTTAGTTTTCAATGCCGGTTAAAGCATATTAAAGCAATATTCTATCGAGCGTACAGTAAATGCTTTTTTCTGACCAACAGAAGTTAACGTCTAATTTAGATTAATATACATCAAGTCATCAAGTTATCGATGACATATATTTTTGTCTAATATATCAAATATTACGACTAATAATGGGAGAGTTACTCCCGTTCTTTTCTATGAAACAGTTTGGCGAAGCTAGACACAAAGAACAGCAAGAACAGAATATTATGATTTTTGGTTCGTACCGTAACATTGATATAGGTGATGGTGGAGGCGGTAGAGGAGTAACAACATATTGAAGCATGTGTGGCTCGTGCGGGAAGGTAATAATTTTAGTCTTGGGCGAAAGCAGGCGCTCGCCTGCGAGGCTTGTACCGCACACGTCACTCGTGAATGAAATAACTCACTTCCCGCCCTACACAATATGCTATTAAGCTTATTTTTTTTCTAACATAATTATAAAGTTAAAAAAAACTTGATATTTTCTATTTGTATGGAAAAACATTGAATTATTATTTTTTCGGTGGTTGGTCGCAAATATATGCGACCCATTTTTATGATTCAATGTTTTTCTGTTCGTATGGTTAATTTATCGCAAAATAAAGCGAAATCGGTCATTGAAATACTATTCAGTTGTTTATTAATGCAGTTGCCACTGTAATTCGAGATAGGTATACTACGTTAAGAAAATAATTGTTACTATTGAATAAAGATTATTCGACGCAACTAATTATAACTAAATTATAATATAAATATATTCAATTATGCTAATGTTTGGTTGGCATATAGCAGCTGTAACAGTAAAAGTAGTCAAAATATTTAAAAAAATTTATCATGGCGTATAGGAAAGGCTAGTATAAACATTTTGTGAAAACTTCAAGTGCCGTCTGTCATTCATTTTTAAGTTAAGCCACTAAATCGATTTTGAATGAAACTGGTTTTAAAATTCTCGTTTTCCGTAATATATTTTTTGTTTTTCCGAGTTAAATACCTTAAAAAGTAGATACTAAGAAACTTTTACTTTTGACCAATTAAAATACCAACCAGATCGAATTTGCTAAAAGAAACTATCCTAAAATAGAAAAACAATGTATTTTCACTGCCCCACGGAAAAATAAAATCAGAATCTAAAATGTAAAATATGCAAAGTTCTTAATTAATTGGTCTTTCAATATTCTAAAAATATAAAAAAATATAATAGCTCAGTTTTTTTAAAAAATTTTTTTTTAAAGACATTTAAATGATTTAATATCTAAACAAAAATTACAACCTTATAGTTACAAGTAATACCTATTGAGTTATAATTAAAATTTTTTCGCCATATAACATATATTTTAGACACAATTTAACTTTCAAAATATTTAGACTAGGTAATTAAACCAGGGCATGGAACCTTTATGATTTTTTCGGTTTCGGTTCCTTTTTGGTTCTCAAAAAAAAAATTCGGTACCGGTTCTTAAAATTACAGAATTAAAGTTTCGGTTCTGGAACCGATAAATACCGGTATTTAAAGATACTTCTTTTTCTAAAGGTAAAAAAAAATTAAGTTTAAACCATCATACATATAATCTAAAATGATTAAATCAAACTATTTTGACACTGCGGTCAAAATACTTAGAAAATTTACTGTTTTGCTTAAAAACATTCATAACAAATTAAAAAAAAATAGTGCTGACTTGTGTTATAAGAAGTAGAAGTCAGCAGTACGAGTGTATGGTATAATATGATGCAATCAAACATTCAATGATAACTATCAAAAGTGATTTTATTTAAATAATATGGTAGAATTTTGTATGATGTAGCCAAGTATCAACGTTATAGTTATTTATATCACTATTGTTTCTTTACTCAACACTTGAGAATTAATGAACAATGTCTTGATACATTATCCTAAATTCTAGGTTCTTGTAAGTTAATTTTCGATAGATAGGTAGTAGGTACATACTTGTCTTTTAAAAAAGATATTGAAATAAAATGGCCAATACTCAATAGAATTCATTTCATACAGCCTTAGACCCTTGATCAACTCACTCTGTAGTTGTGAATCTGTGGTAAGGTAGTAGTTTGAACCCTTTGTACTACTGACATTTGTATTAGAATTGTACAATATAAGAAGAACTTAACTGATGTTTTTTTGGTATAAATTGAAATGACAATATTACTTTCTTACTGAAAGGTATTTTGATTAATTGACTTTTTCTCATTTTAACTTTTAAGCTTAAATCGGAATTCATGTTTGATAATTGTCTGTCCAAGTTATATGAGACAATAATATATAATAGAGTCTAAAATGTATTTTACTTTTAAATTTTAATCTAGACTAAACATTAAAGAATAGTATTTTTGGTTCTAATAATTTATTTTTCATGTAAAATTCAATACAATAAAACATTTATATAATCTTATGAACAATATTATATTCTGTATTTAAAAAACAGTTCAACTGATCATATTATAATAATAAAATAAATCTATCAAGTTATGTATTATTAAATATTTGAATCAAAAATAACATTCACCTAAAACTGTTAAGACTTAACACTAACAATAAAATAAACTGCAGCATTTTATTATTACGAGAAACTGTTCAAAAATTATATTTAATATGTACATTTAAACAAATATTTGTATTTTGTTCTAGTCACAATCTGATAACAATTTATACATGTACCAGGGTACGTATTTTGATCGTTTTAATAATCAAAATATTAGACATCACTCAATAACATCACCAGATGTCGTCATCCAAAACAATTTATAAATTATAAGTATACAATAATTTTTGGGAAATAATCATAACGACGGGGTTTACAAACCGACGGAAAAATAATAATATTTATTATTTATACATTTTTATTTTGGTAACTGCTCATATTTTATCGTTTCTGAAACTGTTAGAATATAGAAACATACAATTTTAAATACAAGTATACATTTCCAACATCGACCAAATTTAATGAGGCAACTATTATTATTTTTTACTTAAATATATAAAATAATTGATTAAAATTAGATTCGAAAAAATCGAAAAATTCTCTCCCAACAAATACCGATTCCGGTTCCGGTTTAGGTTCTTAAGAAAATAAAAAAAGGGTTTCAGTTAAGTTCCAGTTCCAATATTTTCAGAAGGTTCCGGTTAAAATATCGTTATTTTTTTAAATTCCGGTTCCAAGCTTTGAATTAAACCATGAACCAATCACACCGGTCTGATATAAATATTAATCAAATAACATATTATGATATACCTAGGTATAGTTTTATAATATCTAATTTATAATATAATATATGCGATGTTTTTGGAAAAAGTAATTCATCATACAGCGCTACTCAGGCGTAGACGCTCACGCTTCAATATAAAAAATAACAGAGTAAAACAAATACTACATTCCTACTGGATGTAAAATTATCCGTTATGCTTAGTAAGACGGAGTCAGCACATGAGGGTATGACGTCCTTTTAATATTGATTGAATTCTGGTCACTAGAAGAATCACTCAGTTTCTGTTTACTATCTGTACCCTAACAAATGTATGTACCTACCAATAAATAGCCCAAAAATGTTTAGATACTAATTGTTTATATATGTTTATATGTTTATATTTGATATCTTAATTATTTCATTTTATACGAATGTTATATAGTTTTAAAAATTATAAAAATAAAATAATAAAGTAAACAAAAAAGTAATTTAAAAAAAAAATGCTTAAGTTTGTCATGTCAATTAAAAGATTTCTACAGTATAGTTAACTTAGTATTGTGTTACTAAAATATTGTGTTTGATTTCTTTGGTTACTACATAGAAACTATTTCTGTTAAATATAATATAAACAGTATAGATGCATTATCTATTTTATACTTTTTAAGATATGAACTAACCACTTGGACATTATTTTATTCATGGATATTTGGCTTGTCGGTGATTTATAAAGATGGATAATGTTCTTTGTATTATTTATACATTGAACATAACTATAGGCTTAATTCGGGGTATGAACTGTGTGGGCATTATTTTTATACAATTATTTATGTGGGTTAAATTTTAGTATTTTTTTTCATCGTTAAACTTATATTATGTTATTCTTTGTCTTATTGCAGATTATATAAAACCAGATGGTGCACTTCCAATTCAAGTCATGCAATCCTCAACAATTTCAACAATCAAAACCTACCTCAAATTAGTATCACCACTAATAGAGAAAAATAGATTTTAGAAGAAATTATTGATTATTAACTACCTACGCTATCTACTAACTTACGCATCACTGGTATTTAGCACTCGCGCCAAATTCTTATCCATTGTTATCTTATTTGATACAATAATTATAGTAAATATGTTGTTCAATAATGTATTCCTCATATTATGTGACCCTACCGCTTTCAGGTAAGTTCGACTTATCCGTAAATGTAGAAGTGCACCATCTGGTTTTATATAATCTGTGGTCTTACGTTGTAAGATCTGTTTACAACGGTTTACAAGCATTTTTTGAAAATATGAATATTTAAGTACATCGAGTACACCACCGAGTACTTACTCTTATCAGACATATATATTAATTAATGTTAAATAATGTACAATGGTCTTAAAAATGTGTGATTTAAAGAGGAAAAACCAATTACGCACTTTCTTTGAAATGGTCGAATACGAGTAACATATAATAAATCAGCCGTGCGAGAATTCAAATTATAGCATTTAAGTTATTATGATAGTTAGAAAGAGAATTGAGAATTCAAAAATCCTTGAGATTGTATGATTTTTTAAAACGTTTAAATAGGTTTATTCGGCATTCGCAGCTTATTGGTTAAGCTATACAGATACTTTATATAATTTTGTAATTTATTTGTTTTTTGAGTACCCATTTATAATATAGTATACAAAATGTATAGGTATCATTACTTTAAATTAATTATTATGTAACACATTATTTTAACATAAAATATCCCAAATGAATAGTTTATTGTTCAAATATACGTTAGGTCAAAGTTATTTTATAGGTATTGGAAAATAAACAGTATATTTTACTATACTTACTCAATTTTTTCTTTATGACACCGAATGCAAAGCCATTCGGGAGCATGTGTGGCAGTTGAATATTCCCTGCAAGACATACATATCCGTTCTCGACAAGCACGACAATTGGCCCCTCTATTGATTATCCGTCCCAGTTCGGCCCGGCATCGAGCACAACAGTGTCCAGACCATAGACTGGACTCGCATCGTAATACTTCTAATTCACCGCTAGCCATACTATCGTTTTTTCTAGAAAAAACAAAATTTATAGTGAAAAAACTTTCAACGTCAGATTTTGATTTATAATTGTTATTTAAAAAATAATAATGGGCCTTTATATAGCCCATCTTTATAAAGATTAATTATATATACCTTACACCATGCTCACACATTGTCTATATAATAAACTATTTTTTAAATTTACTATTATATGCAATTTAACCGGACTACATTAGGTATATAGCTTAAAGATAATTAAATTAAACGTAAGAATGAATAGGGCAATCAATAATGTTAATTCATAACGCGCTATTATTTCTCGTTGCTTCAGTAAAAATAAACTTAACGCAAGACGAAAACACAGTTCCATTATTTTAAATTCAACCAGTTGTTTTTCTGTAAGAGGAAAATTTATTTCTCATGAACGATGACCTTAACTACCATTCGTAATTGAAATTCATTATTTATTTTCCTCCCGAGTTCGTCGTAAAAACAACATCTGTTTTTCTCGTTATTGTCACGTCCGCGCAGTCCGATCCTAGTTTTCCGCCAATGCTTACGCAATTCGTACAACATAATCTTCAAATTTATGAAAAACCACTTAAGAAAGTTAAAGTAAAGAGTTATTACATGGAAAACGTGTTGAACGGCACACCCGATTAAAATGCAATACATATTAAATAATATATAGATGATATATATTTGATTTGGTATACACGTGAAACAAAATATAAAATTACTTCTGCCCACGTTTCATTAGATATACCACTAATGTAATAAAAATGTGCTGTGTACACTGTACATTGCCTACTAGTTCTGTAATCCAATTTCATGACGTATGTGTGTCATCTTAAATGGGCGTGAACCAGTGACACAACAGAACCCATAATATTTTTCATTAAATACTTTTACTATTACTTTTTATTATACACTATATTAAACTGTTTATAATCTAAACAAAACGCATCTCGGAACTGTTTCCAAGAACGGTTTATTGTAAAATCTGCGAATGGACTTAATGTATTACATGACATACTTACCAACAGTATTCAAATTTTATTTAAATTTTTTTATTAATTTTTTTCGAAGTATAACCAAGACTGTATTATATTGTTTGCTGATAGAGACAACAACATATACTATAATGTATAATTTTATCTTAGAATTCAGGGACTTCACTTCACAGTGTTTTGAAATTAATCATACTATACATATTTGGGCATAGCAACTGTATAAACTAAAGTATAAACTATGACATACAGGCCTTGGCCTCATGGTAAAAATATAAATATAATATGTATTATGTATTATGTATTATAAAGAAATTACCAAAATATCTAAACCATATTTTGTTAGAAACTTAATTTGATATAAATTTCAATGTTCAATAATAAATGATGTTTTGATCGAAATACTGAATTAAAATTAAGCAAGTTTGTTTTTTTTATGTATGTTATAAAATTGGCTTTCTTTATACTTGAAAAATATTGGTCTACAATGTTTGGATATTTTTTATATTTAATAATTTCCATCTGTCATGATTCAACTTGACTATTCTATATTATTTTCTATACCATCAATCATAATTACGACAACAAATTATAGTTCTGAACTCGTTTTTTCGGTATTATAAAAAAATAATATATTTTTAGAAAAAAATCTAGTCTAAATGTACAATTGCACAATGAACACACAAGGTAAACTCACATCGAGGACCGAGGTACCGATTTCTCCCACCAAAAAGCATTAAAATTTTCGGCATGATTGTCTATAGAATTTTTGCTTAGTGATGCTAATATAATATAAGTTATTGTAATTAATTAAACTAGATATTGTAAACACATAAATTATGATTTTATCATGGAAGTAGATAAAAAAATAACATAATATTTGCTATTATTATTCTCATACCTATATATACAAAATATACCTATAGACATAATCTAAACACGGCTATGTTATACGAGTATTTAAGTGATATTTGTTACTGAAATGTGTTGTGAAAATGAGTACTTAACTTTTATTTACATAATTGCCTTAATATCATGTTTCACATGCAACATGTATAATCTATATTGTATGTAGATATTTAAAATAATTATAAAGTATTTGTTTATCGTTGATAAATAGCACTTATAATTTTAAACTCATACAAAACATATTAAAGCACCGCATTTAATAACATACACAAAATGAATATAATTCATTGCAAGTGAGTTCAGTTTGAATAATATTTAATTTCTATACAGGCTATAAACATATTTTAGAACTGAAATATAATTTGATTTAAATAGAGCAAAATATACCTTAACAATTAACATCAGTAATCGAAAAGTTATTTAATTTAATTCAAGAAGTGGTATTTGAATACTTTGATCATTATTGATATATATTTCAATCAAAAATATAATAATAAGCATCGTGATATTTTGTGAGTATTATACTTGATTTGGACAAACATTTTCTTTTCGATTTCATTAAAATGCATGCTCTTGCTTCTTCGATATATAATAGGAAAACAATACATTTACAATACATTTTATTTACTCCAGAATCTAACACAATACAATTATACAAATACACATAACACGAAGTTGACAATACCGCAATTAGTAGAAACATATTTCATATTTATAGTCAATAGAATACTACCCGAATGCTAAAGATATTATATTATAGTCTGTCAAAACACTTTTTGGCATAGAGAGCACGTAAAAGTATAAGTTCTTTCCTCGTCGCTTTTATCCAATGAGGTCATTCGAAATGTAGGTGTGAATAAAAGTGAATGGAAATTAATGATTACGACAAAAATAACGAATGTCGACTGAAGTATTGAAATTTCGGAAGAAAAAACATAGACACAGTAGAGATGTGTACAATTATGTATAACTTATTAGATACCAAAATTAACAGAACGTGTTTAAGACTTAATGAGTAACTAAAAATTATACTTTAGATTTAACAAAAATATATGTTTACAACAATACAGCAAAACAATATTGCAAGATCATCAATTATATAGGTAAAGCGAAAATAAAAATAAAAATAATTATACCAACATAACCAAGTAACTAACTTAGTTTATTATTGTAGCAAACGTAAAATTATATTCAATAAAAATAATTTAAGTCTCTAGCTGCAAGAACATATTTTGGACGAGACGACCAAACGTATATGGTTCTAATGTTTTATACTCGAGGTTATACCTTATACCCATGTGGCATGTAGTCATCAATATTAGCAAACAAAACAAAAATATCAACATTACATTAAATACTTAATAGTGGAAATAATTAATAACAATAATAATCATATCATAATAGCTAGGTAATACTACGTACTAGTGTACTTCTGTTATTAATTATTATTATCATAACAGGTGGTTGGTGTACTCGAGTACTCGACCGGTCTCTTCGTGAATATGTGTGTGTATGTGTGTGTATGTGTGTGTGTGCGTACTGCGTACACGAATGAAATAAACAATGGATGGCAGTGGCGGCAATAGAGGAACCGGTACGAGCCGTACCGGCAAAACACACACACACACACACGCGCGCGCGTGCGCTCACGTATTCTATACTTGCGTATTTTTTTGTATTATAATACAGTCGAAGACGAAGACTATGTCGACAACGACGAGGAACTGAGGAAGACGAAGAGAACTGAGAAGTCAACAGGGCAACGACCAATAACACACACACATACGCGCACGCGCGCTCGCACGCACACACCATATATATATTAATATATAAGACACGGCGAGTATTTTAACTCACGTATGCACTATGCACTATGCACTATGCACACACACACACACACACACACACACACACACACACATATCCACACTATAGCTACTACAACCGTCTGCTGTATTGATAATTCAAGATATCATACTTAAATACTTAAATCATATATTTAGAATATCATAATAATATCAAATGTGTGATGGCACAACATAGGCGTTACCGTTAAATAATGGTGAGATAAGAACCAACCAGTAGAGGTATAGGCGTCTGTCTGGTATTGTTTCTTCCAATTTACACAAGTGCGTCATAGCGAGCATTCATACTCCGAAGAATAGCCCAGATTATCTGATTATAGTAATATTAATTATCAGATAAATAAATAATATATATATGTAAGGTATACTGCCTTCTACATTACAATTAGTAAACCCTGAATGACTTATAATATAGGTACTGTCGCTACGACTAACAGTAATATATAAACCTGAATTGATTTTACATTACACGCGAAGTCGGCGTCAATAGTCCATAAATATAGTTTCAAAATCAATTAAAATCAATTAAAGCCAAAAAAACTTTCTAAAATAATTCAAATAACCATACGACCCGAGTTGTTTAGTTTTTTAAATGAAATTACATAATAAATACATTATTATATTATACATAGTAAGATTATTATTTTTTTTTTGGAGGGGAGGAGGGATTCACAAACTCTTATTTTAGTGAATAAAATAATAATTTAATGAGGCTGAACCTTAAAATAAATTTTTTAATTAAGTACGAGTTTATAATATTGTAATAATAAATAACTATGAAAATATTATGTATATCTAGTTACCAAGCTTATAAATTTAATACACAACACATATCCAACTAGTCTCTATATACCACAATGGTAAAACGATGTGTGCTATACTGCTATTCACGAGGTAACTAGTAAAAATATAGGAAAGTTTTAACACATCATATATTATACTTTTTGAAAACAAGCTATAGGTACATTTACTAACAATAATATATTATTCAACCATAATTTTAAACCCATGTTGCCTGAAAAGTAATAAATTATTTTACTTTTTCTCAGATATTTGTTAAAAAACTTTTAATGATATTTGATATTTTAAACCATTTACCATACAATAAAAATAAATAAAAACTATTAATACTTATTATTAGTATAGGGTTTAACCGTTACTGTGGTATATTCACGAATTTGCATTTTAACGGGTTTAAAAAACAAAATTAAAAACTTAACTATTTGTATTTTATAAAACAAACATG